CCCAGACTTACCCAATGGCTGTGAACATTCTAAACTAACACAAGTCTCATTAAGTGTCCAGTTTAAGGGTATTACACAGAAACACACCACAAGAACATGAATCAAATGAGTACTTTATTCATTTACAATAAATTCATAATGTACATAATTCTGATTGAAGCTAAGGGCATACAACTGTCTAACACTAAGAAGTGGCGCCATAATTTTTTAGGGTTCTTTTGAGTTTTCTGTAAGGGGCAATTCAAGTCCTGCCTGATTTGGAGGCTTCTAGAGAGAGCGGCTGCCTCTTCTCTCTCTTCTCCCGTCCCACAGAAAATGAATCTTTTGTGTGAAGACAGTCTATGACACCAAAAAGGTGTTGTGGGTTCCAGAAGTGTTTCGTTTGATCTTGTTACATATTTTAGTTATTTTCTTTACATTTTTTGAGAAGCATGGAGGGTCACGGAGTTGAAAATAAGCCCGGGAATGAAACGAGACTAGTGGGAGGAGGTGTTGGAGACCTTTTCGGGACTGGGGCCATTACTACAGTTAGGTTGGATGGTGCAAATTACTTAGAATGGTCGCAATCTGCAAAGATGGCCATTGGTGCTCGTGGGAAATTAGGGTATATCACTGGTGAGGAAGTGAAACCCGAAACTAGCAACTCCCGGTGGGTACAGGAGAATTATATGGTGATGACTTGGTTGTGTAATTCCATGTTACCCTATATAAGTAAAATTTTTTAATGGGCAAATACAACTAAAGAAATATGGGATGGGGTTGCAGAAACCTATTCACAGAGAGAGAATGTTGCTAGCGCTTATCAGTTGAGAAATCAGATTATTTTTACAAGGCAGGGAGAGAGACCTGTTGTAGCCTATTTTTCAGCCCTTAAAACCCTGTGACAGGAGATTGACCATTTAGAGACATTTGCTTGGGAAACCACTAAGGATGCAACTACCTATTAGAAACATCTAGAGAAGTATAGGGTGTTTGAATTTCTTGCTGGCCTTAATCCTGAGTATGATATTCCAAGACAACATCTTCTTTCCAGGGACAGTGTTACCCTCTCCCAAGCAAATGCCATTGTGTCAGCCTATTAGGGGAGGAGAGCAGGAGAGATGTGATGATGAAAAATCCTGTTTCTGATCAGTCTGCCATGGTGAGTATTGTGAAACCTAAACAAAGTAGAGATCGGGGTGGCAGTGAAATCAAGAAGGAAGATAAAAGAGATTTGATCTGTGACTACTGTAAGAAGCCTAAACACACAAGAGATACTTGTTGGAAGCTCCGCCCACATCTTGTGCCGATTAGAATGAAAAATAAGAAGGGAAATGCATACATGGCAGTTACTGGTGACATTCCGGCCCCTCCTACTACAACTGCTCTGGAATCTGTTGCAGCTATTGCAGTAAGGGCCGAACTTGAGAGGTATGGGCAACTTTTGAACCAGCGGGATACAGCCAGTTCCAGTTCAGCAGCAAGCGGACAACAAGGTACAAGTGGCACTGGTGGAGTCCACTCTACTGCCTTTGCTCACACAGGTAGTTCACACGTCACTACAAATTACGTTTCTATTTCAGGTAAGGAGGGACCTCCTTGGATTATAGATTCTGGAACCTCAGAGCACATGATGGATCCCATGTTCCTATTGCTGGGAAGGGATCTGTCAAGATTAGTGATTCTATTTCTCTACCCTCAGTCCTTCATATTCCTAGATTGAGCATTAAGAACCTGAACTGCTTAGTAATTTTTTCTCCTGGTCATTGTATTTTGCAGGATCTAGATTCAAAGAGGACGATTGGGAGTGGTCGTGAAGTGAATGGGATCTACCTGCTAGATGTTCTTCCTCATCAGAGTCATCATGTTAGCAGGGATAGTGAGTCAGGGTCTGTGGGTCAAATTATGCTTTGGCATAATCGTTTGGGCCATTTACCTTTTTCTTCTTTGAGCCTTTTGTTTCCAAAACTTTTTGAGTCTGTTAGTTTTTCAAGTTTGGAGTGTGAAGGTTGTCAACTTGGAAAGCATTGTAGACATTCATTTAAACCTAATAATAAAAGGTGTTCTTCTACTTCTGATGTTATTAATTCCGATGTGTGGGAACCTTACCATGTTCCTTCTATGGGAGGCTATTGATATTTTCTCTTATTTGTGGATGATTTCTCACAATACTCTTGGATTTACCTGATGAGATCCCGCAATGAAGTACCATCCTTCGTGAGGCAATTTCATCCAATGGTGCTAACACAATTTGGAGCAAGAAC